AACTCCGCGTAAAAACTCCGCGTAAAAACTTCCCACCGTGTGCGAAAAATGCTGTTTAAATCCCTGCGTAGTATCCTTCTTATTCCGTGTAACCTAAGTGGAAACGACGGTTGTGGGCTATATGTGAAAAGGTATTTTTCCGCTACAACAACATTAATCCGAGCCCCCTCGGTCTCCCTCCGATCCGAGTCGGACGCTTCTGCCTTCATGCGCTGCGCAGCAACCGCACGTCGACCAGGCAGAATAATCGAGGGCGGAGCCACGAGATGCTGCAGTCCACCCAGACAGCACAAATCAAGCGGCCTGTGAGCGCCACAACAATGCTTCTGAGCAATTGTTGAGTGCTTCGTTAACACACACACACACACACACACACACACACACACACACACACACACACACACACACACACACACACACACACACACACACCTCAGACCAGCCTGTTAGTGTCTCATGCAGAAAGAGTTGATCTCAGAGCAAAGAAGAGGTCATAATAAGGAACGTGTTGCCCCCAACTGCTAATGCGATTACATTTTAACCTAATTTTTATAAATGTGGCCCACTACGGTCATGAGTTTCACAGAATAATGATAAGTCTTGTTTAGCCAAGTGTATAATTGATCTGACTCAGGGGCGGGTATCTGGCGCCACATGCGGCCCCCATCAACCCTCAACATGGCCCTCAGGTAAATTTTTACATATCAATTAATTGGAAGTATTTAGAAAACTTGACAAAATCTGGCATGAAAACACGAAATCTGAAATATGTCCATAATAATATTGGATCACTGATATATGTTGAGTTAAATTTGAGACATAATTGAATGTAATAATTTTTGTATCCTACAATTTGGCCCTCTGGCAGTGAGAATTCAATTAAAGTGGTCCTTGCTGTGACCAAAGTTGCCCATCCCTGATCTGACTAAACACGTATGACTTTATTTATTCTTAATAATAGTGATGGTTATTTTAATAACAATTGGGCTTATCAGTAGGAACTTGTATATTTATATTATTATTAAACACATTTCCATCAAATATTTTAGATTTTATCAGAGTCCCAATAATTGCATGCATGGAAGAAATGCATTTGTGATTCTTTTCTTTCCAATTACTTAAAATTAGATTTGTATTGTCCTTTTCATTTCTGTATCTGTCCATTACATATAAGCTGACATACTGATGCAGAGGTCTAAAATAGCTTACAAAAAGGGTCCTGATGTGGTAAATAATCTTTAAAAATTACTGTTTTCTCTCCTTAAGTTCCAACAAAATTATTAATGCTACACATTCAGTAATTTCAAATCTCCACTCTCCAGGGAAGTTTTACATGTTTATAGTTTCACATTGAAAAGATGGATGCGTGAATACCTCCTTTCAAACACAAGTTTACAGTTAAAAAAAAAAAAGAGTAGGCCCAAAAGCCTATGCATTGTATAAACCCCGCTTGGACAAGCAGAATATAAATTATACATAAAATTGTATTAGAACCTTGCAGCTTATTCTGGTGGAGGATTGAATGTCAGGTTAACCTTGTCTCTTGTCAACCTTTGTCATCTTCTATCAACTGAAAGGAATGTCATCCAAAATACGCTGACATCATGATGACTGGTTCACAGCATGATGGTTCAACCTTGAATCCTTTTTGTCTGATCATTAAATCAGACAGAAACTTTTGTCCAACAAGGAATGGCTGAAAGTCTGGTCTGATTTAGTTTCTCAAGGTTTTCCAGAGAATTCTCAAAAACCATTGCTTGTCTTTGGTGGCTACGTGCTTGTTGAACACAATCATTTCAAATTGTCTAGAATACATGTTTTAATTCAGCAAGGCACACAATAACAAAACACAGTAAGAGAGGAATATTCTTCAATATCTAAATATCTTAAAATCCTCTTCGGTTTTGGGTTTTATGAGATTTTGAGTAATTGACTATTAATAAAATGTTCTAAAATGCCAGTGTAGTATTTGTTTATCCCAGCGTGAAGTGTTGCCTACAATTAAAAGGAAGATTTAATTTGTGCATGTAGCTCTGTAGCTGATATCTTATTAATAAGGACTACGTCCAGCCATCTTATCTGTGATGCTGCTTAAATGCACAGCCTCAAAGGACATAAACTGGCTATGCGTGGACTATCACATTGGCTCTTTTCAGTTGATAAAAGTGTAGTTTTTTAAAGGAATGTTTTGGGCTTTCATGCTGGTATTAGGACAGCTTGAGAGAGAAAGGAAATAAGAGGAGAGAGGGGGTGGGGGGGGGGGGGTGACAAGGAGTGGAACCTGCGACCATTGTGATGAGGACTATAGCTTCTGTATATGTCCCAACCAGTGCTCCAAAAGTGTAGTTTCATACCTATTAAGTAGGATTGTATTGGTTGGATCTAATAATTAAGACAGGGCTTATGTTGCATTAAAGAAACACTCTATACTTAAATAGCTTTAGTCTAGCTTTAAAACCTGAAGAGAATCCTGCCTCATTAAGCTGCTAGCCTCCTCATTCCATGGCTATAAATGAAGAGTTTAGTATCCTTTTTGTGTCCTGTGCAGTATATATTCTCTGCAAAACATGTTCATGATGAAAATTGCTAAATCACTGTGATCTCTGTAATTTTTCAAATGGAAATCTCCATATTCATGTCAACAGATCATTGGAATTGTTCTCTTAAAACATTCAGCTCTCTAGTTTCAAGCTTTGATGGTAGGATTTGCATGTTGAGAAATACTGCTTGTGATCCAGACAAAAACAATGAAATAAAATCCTTGGCAAAAAGTTTCCAAATTCCAAAGTTACATAAATTAAATGAGTTACATAAACTAAGTTGTGCTTACATATTATATCTAATCAATGTTATTTACTTTGAGACAGATAAGCAACGACCCACATTGGTTTTGGTTGACATCCCATCACATCAACAAACCGTTTCCTGTGAGAATTATGTTACCTAAATGTTAAATATGTCATGTGTCCTTTTTTTTTTTACTGGTAGACACTGCCCCCTTGTGGATGTTTTTTAAATTTATTTTAAAAATGTATTCAGACTAGAGGCTTCAGGAGCAGATCCAGCTTTACTTGACAAGTCTGTGCACCTATTGAAGGATTTTGATGTTTTCTTTCATTGCTCTCAATATACTTTTACAATATAACTATAAGCATGAATGAGATCAGGTTGTTGAGCTGGTATGCCTAGGGATGGTCCCTAACTTCCTTGTCTATTTGTCAAAATGTCCTTGAGCAACTAACTAAAAATAGGTCCTGATGTGTGTGTATGGAAAGAGTGGTAAGTCAGCTTGGATAAAGCCTCAAATAACTTCAATGCACACCTCTGTGTAAATCCACCACCTTGGCATTTTCCTCGAGGCCACCAGAGGTCTCTCCCCTCACAATAGACTGGGCAAGACATCCTGAAGAAGACATCACTACCATATTCAATTCACACATGCTTGATTATTCTGCACATTTAAGCTACTGAACAATTCTTCTCAACATCATCCATACCTGTCAGAGCTCTGCAGAGAACATCCAGTTCATCTCCTGCTTCAGTGTTCAGGGAGATTTCCTTTATAGCACAGCAGCACATAAAATATTAAAGAGGAGCATGGTCTCCCGGGAGCAGGATTACTTCAGTATGCAGCTTGCATCACATTAGAGGACTTGCGATTTATATTGGTTCTCTTAATAAGGAGGAGTGTATCTCATCATCTTTCTATCTGGGATCCCTGTTACCGTCTACCTAGACATTATTGCACATTTGTCCCACTGATTTTGTCACATGTGGTGTGATGGCATTTGAATTATAAAGAGGATTCTCTGTGCAGACGCAGAGTAATGCTAAATTGGCTGGCATTTATGTGAAGGGTGCCTTATAGTTAATAATACTGTAATGATCCTCATTTTAAGTTCAATATCTTTTAAGTGTCTGTTTAAGAGAAAAAAACACAAGAATGCTTCCTTTTTAATATTCAGCTTTTTGTGTTGGTAACATCTGCTGTCATGCCTTCATGCTTCAGAGGAATCACTCATTGACTTTGAACTGTGTTTGTACTGACAGTGTCAGCTCCTTGAATTCATTACGTGTTGTGTAATATAGATTACATCATATGTTGCTACATTTTGTGCCGTTAATGTGGGAAAATGTAACTGCATGAAGGCACATGCTCTTATTCCTTTGTCTGATGTTAGTTTACCAGTTTCAAAAGAGAAACACATCAGTTTAAGTCAATACAGTCATCAAGTGGTGCAATACTTTTTTTTTTTTATAACTACAGCCCTATAGTCATATCCAAATGTTTGTAATGTAGCTTTTTGGTAAATGCTTTTCTAGTCTTTTGATTACTCAAAGCACTCTAACACAGCAGCCTCATGTCACAGACGGGATATATATCAGGCGAGGGGATTTACGGCACTCAAAACAGCCCTTTTCTAAATATTGGTAAAGATTCTTAATGAGTGATATGTTTGTTAAAGATGAGTTCATTCCTAAAGGGCACTGCATTCAAATGTACAGGAAAAACATCAGCAAAGAGACAAGAGGTACAAATTTGTCCCCAGGGGGCTCCAAACCCAATGCAAACTCAAAAGTTCCTTATAGGACCTTTAAGTCTTATTGCTTGATTAATTTTTTTTAACTAATTGTATTTTATCCCTTTTAGATACTTTTATGTTTGTCCCCCTGACTGAATATAGACCTATATGTAATTCAACCCTCCAGAACTATGTAGCCTACGTTGTTATTATGTGAGTAGGCTACATAACGGAGTTACTAATACTGGCAATATGAGAGGGACCATTTATTATTTAAAATAACTTTAACTGAACACATCAGGCCCGCAATTATTTCTGCAATGAAATAAAAAAAAGAGATAAATCCGCAAAAAAAAAAAAAAAGTTGATCTAAACTGAAAACCAGTTCCAGAAAGGAAACCGTCCCAGAATGAAAATAGCCACCATGTGTTTGATCATGTGACCACGCTACGTGCGCACGGCGACGTACGTGACGTAGCGTTGTAGGCTTCGCCAGTTTCCTCAACCAAACACTCAACTGATAATTGTGTGATAAAACTGGAAGTCAGCCGGTGGACGAAGGGGTGCTTTCTCCAGAAAAGCACACGAACCCTGCGGCCCTCGTCGTCACTAACAAACTCAGTCGTCTTTGCACCGAAACAGGTCGTATTGTTGGACAGGGCGGCGAAAATTCCTGTTTTTAAACCCCGACCAAAGGCTGCTTCTTTTTTTTTTTTTTTTTAATTTTTTGCTCTGGCTGTCGAAAGGCGGGGAATACAAAGCGACGTGTGGTCAAACCCTGTGATTTTTGGACTAATTGAAGCAAAAACGGGATTACTACAAAGCCAGTTCGTGCAGCAGTGACTGGTCAGCGGTAGTACATGGATTATCTGGTGAGTAAATGAACCAAACATCTGGTGGTATTTCGTATTTCCATCAAAGACTAGTTCTGAATTGTGGATCTCGCCACTTGGTCTCCTCATCAGACATTAATATTAATCAGGTGTGTGTCTTTCAACACGTAGCTGACGTACCGGTTGTTGTTTTATGTTAATGTGTCAGCTCTTGTCTGTAGTATTTTGCCTGTGTGTCCTGTGTGAACAAGGTCTAACTGGTTGACCCAGACCCACATGTGTTTACATGTAAAGAAACTAACCAACTAGCTCCAACGTGGAAGTAGTGCTAGCTGTGTTATGTGTCAACATAACTGCAGTTAAGTCCACAGAACTTGCTTTTGTTTCTTGGGATAAGCTGCACTGTGTTTTGGTTAGGCTTCCTGGTGCCCATGTGTCACTGGGAACTAGGCCCCATACAACTTCACTAGTTTATTTTTATTTTTTTGTATTCATTCCTGTGACAAAAAAATATTACAATCAAGGCGACTGTGCCAGCTTTAGCCCGGAGGATTATGGTTCTTGGGCCTTTGCCCACATTGTAGAGATGGGATGGGTGCCGGTGAAAAAGTGTAACAATAGAGAGGAAGCTGTAACTGAAAGCTTTCCCTGGGAATGTATAAAGCAAGAGGAAAAAATAGTTCACAGACATTGTGCTGTCATATTATATGGGGGGGGGGGCAGAGTGACAGTGTGAAAAGCAGAGGAACTAGCCCACCCAGTGTTATCAGCTTGTTTATAGTAGGCCTCCCAAGATGTGAGACCTAAAATGAACTTTAAACTTTAGTTCATTGTGATGTGATTCAGACTGTCAAAGTCCTTCCCCTCTACTGCCAACATTGTTGTTATATTCAATAGAAAATTGATTTTAGTCTAGATTTTCTGTGGCTTCTGGCCTTAATGTCACAAATCTTACGGGGAACAAAGTTGTGCATTCTTTAAGTAGATGATTTATTGTGTAATCTCAGTTACATGGCAATAGAAAGCTTTCGGTGCCAAAAGTAAACACAAAATGGCATTGTTGTTAAAGGGGGCACACTGATGACATGAGATGATAGAAAATAATCGTCTTAGCTATTTTTCTTTTTCTCTGGGCAGTTCGATAAGCCTCTCTTCGCGTTGCTTTTGTGTTGTGCTCAGATTTGACCATGTTTAGTCTTTGCGTGCATACTGACAGAGTAGGGAAACATCCTGATCACTTGCCTAGGATGTAAGACTTTCTATGACAAACAGTTTTCTGTGAAAAGACCAGCTGTAACTATGTGAACTGCTGGAGCCTAGTGCTTGGCTGTCCTCTAAGGTCACGCTCTCAACAGGCGCAAGGCCTCGTTACCTGCTGTGAAACACTGGAGATCTGGCACAAAACCCAGGCCTCTCTTTTCTATTTAAAGCAATAAGAACTTGTCAGTAAACCTTGAAAATATCTGCTAGGATGTAAGGGAGGGTTGTGCATATAAATTGTCAGCAGAGTGTTAAACTGTAGCAAACTATTGAGCCCTAGTGTATCCAGTATCGCACAAAATATGACTTTTTACAGCTACTTATTAGTTTAGAATACTTAAATATATGTGAAGAAATGAATATCATTTATTAGAATTAATTAATTCAAAGATTCAGCAACAACAACCACTATCTGCTGACCATTGATGGGTGTGGCAGATAACGGAGCAGCGTCTCCTCTGCTAATAGGCTGGACCACACCTCTACTCATCTGGCTCAGACTGAATGAGGTGGGAAACATTTTGAGAAATAGGCCCAAAGCTGTTTTTCAACTGTCCATTGATTTCAATCCAACAGTTTTGTTGCTTAAAACTTTGCTTGCCATTTAGCCCTAGACTGATGTCTCCATAATAGAATGATGCAAAAACATTAACAGATTTTGCAAACTTTTGCAAGTGGATGAACAACATTTGGTTGAACTACACGTGTCAGGGGAATTACAGGCTAATGGTGCTTTCACACTTGCACAAAACTCCTGAAAAATTCCTGTAGTTACCGGGGTGAGCTGTAGTGTGCATGAATACAGCTTTCAGATAAGTGGTGGGGGACATTTCTATTAAAAAAAAAAAAAAAAAAATTTTTACATGGGTTGCCTACCCAAATGAAAACACTCATGGAGTAGGGCTGCTCGATTATGGCAATGATTGGATTGATATCATGATTATGAAACATGATTACTGCAACATCTGCATCACATGCATGTATAAATGTAAACACTTTTAACACTTTAATAAGTGAAAAAATATAAATATATAAAAATAATATGTTTGAAACAAAGTCACCATACAAAAATATCAATGCTCTATGACCCATTACTGCATGAAAGTCAGCAAAAAATATGCAAATATATGAATTTTAGAATCCTGAAATGTCTTCCTATTTGTACAGCGCGTCTATATGACACTAACATGACACTAACATGACATGCCTTCTTTTCTTTTCAAATAAAGAAATAGTTTTGGAGTGTGTATATATATATATATTTATTTTATTTTTTTTAACCTCTTGCTGTTCCTGTAAAATGTGCCTAAAACTCCTAAGAATGACATGTTGGCCTGGGCTTCCAGAACCGAACCAAACTGAAAACCATGACCAAAAAACTGAGGTACTCATTGAACCTTGGGCTAACTGTATTGTTGCATCCCATTAAACACAAAGGAAAAGGGGGGTGAGCCTTAAAATGTGTTACTTTTGCTCTCAGTGTTAAAAGCTTTCTGACCATGTTCCACACCTCATTGGTGGTGTCAGGTCTCCAAACAAAAATGACCTATTGTATAAACATCACAAACAGTCCCACATAATGTGTGTTTTTTAGAACTGGAAGAAAGTAAGGGGGATCATTTACTTTACTTGGTCAAGCTGGCCCCTTAATTTTTGTAAGTGCAAAGCCTCCAGTTATACTGAAATACCTTTCTGAGCACTGCATTCCTGAACCCAAGTCTCTGCTCTGAACCGGCTAGTAGTGTGTCAGTCAAGTTTTTGACTGTTTGATGGATCGTTGCAACTTGCAGTGATTCCCTGGTGTCGTTGGAGAATGCTAGTCAGCCAGCATCTTGGGCTGCAGCTACGTCAGTGTAAAAGTCGGAGATGAGGGATTATTTATAGGGATTATTTTAGGATTTCATAATGCTATTATCACGATCATGCACTGGCTCCTTTTCATATTGACATCCATACTGTTGGCTGCCTCTGTAAAGAGGCATTATTGAACTGTTTCCATATTTTTAATTGCATTTCCTTTACTTTCCACTCACATTGCTGTTCTACACTAGATGAACAAATATTTTTTTATTTATTTAACCAGGAAAGAAAGAACCTTTTTATAAAAAAAGCTGATTTTTCAGACCCTTCCATAAAACTGAATAAAGTCTTGGATTTTACATGCAATAACATACTATTTGGAATTGAAACATACCAGTAAATGAGTAGCTTAAAGTGACAGTGCAAATAATTTTAAATTGCATACCTGTTGTTGGTGTTAGTTTGAATGTAGCCCTGTTGGGTTACATTAGAGTACTCTGCGTTACAGTCTATGTGCAGTATGTATGCAGGTATTGGCAGCTTCGATTACTAGACAGCTGATCTGACCAAAACAGCCATTTGAACATGACTCACCTTTCTCCATGAACAGAACGACTGCAGACAAAGCATCCCACAACAGTTGCCTAAATCCCCTTGACCGCTGAAAATTTAAATGGTCGATCCCTTCATCCATCTCTATCCATAGAGAGCGGTGGTTTTCATACCTCATGAAGCTGTGCGTACAGTATGGGCATAGTGTGTGGGTGGGTAATAGTGACTAATCCAATTTGTAGTCTTATTCTAGATCCCTAGTTGTCACTGGGCCCTTAATCTCTCTGTAGAGATTCTCACAAACTAATCTCAAGCTTGTGTCTGTTGCATGATTCTTGTGGCAATAGCTTTTATCTTTCTCTGAAGAATTTTGGGAGTAAATACAAGGCAACTTCCTACTCATCCTGCTTTTCTAAAACCTCACACATCCTTGCTGTATAGATATGCTTAAAAAGAAATGGACCATCTGAATTGCTGACAGTGAGACAGTAAAGGGCAGGACCTGACACTGTTTTGCTTCTGATCCTCCTCCATCCATTCACTTACTCCAGAGGCTTGGCTTGTTTGTTGCCGGGGGTTACGCTTGTTGCTGAGCACAATGTCGGAGCACATGCAGCTCTCCCTTGCCTTGTGCAGGATTGGGCTTTACACGGTAAGAAAATGCATGCAGACACGCTGCTATCTGTTTTGTAGAGAATGGCCGGGTTGTGATGTGTGTTTACGTGTGCTAGATTCATTTCTGTTGGTTTCACCAGGGTGTAATGTTTCCTTGATGTGTTTTGAAACAGATTCTGACCATGAAATATGGGCTGCTGCTTCACCGTAGCTTGGTCACTGAATGCAGAGTATTTTCCGTTTCATTTGAGTGGGTTTTCACATGTTGTTAAGGTGGAACAAGTGGATGTCTGTGCTGTGAGCTGTAAATGAAACCTAAAGAGAACAAGCTGTCTCAGAGTATAGACTTTTTCTCTGAGAACATAAAAAAAAGATAGACTTCTTTTTCCTGCAGCTCCTAGCAACTGGCTCGATCAATGGTTGGAGTTCAAGCTGCCTTAAGAGCAATGCAGTTATGAATGGATTAATACATATTATGCTACAAAGGATATGGTGGAAATTTAGCTGAAGTTGTTTTGACTTTGTGTTTGCAGTGACACGTGAGTGGTGAACATTTAGTGATAATAGTGATATATGCCTTAGTTGAACATCTCACCTCACTGTGTTTGTTAGGAGATTAAATAATTTGACATTGTGGTTGTCCTTAAACATTTAAAAATGGTTGTATTTTAACCAATGCTGACGACTCGCGTTGCCCTTTGTTAGATTGCTGTTACTCCTTAACCAGCTGGTGAAGCTTTCTTTTAAAACATTAACAGAGAGCTTGTTTTAATGTTTAACATAAGGCAATCATGAATGGAATATGGAAAAAG